ATTTTTCATCTATTCATTTTGATGTTTTTCTTTCTTTCCTTTTTACAACTTATAACTTAGTTTCTTTCATTGCACAGAGGTTCTTGGTTTAATGTCATCCCATTTTCTTATATTTGTTTTTATTTTTTTGACATTGGGGTAAAGTCCCCAAAATATATCATTGAACCCAATATTATATAGTATTATATCTGTTTTTACTGCTATGTATATTTATTGAATTCTGGTCTTAAATTCAAGTCATTCAAACATTTGAGTATGGTGTGAGAGAATAATGTAATTTCATTTTTCTGCATGTTGTTAATCAGTTTACCCAACACCATTTGTTGAAGAGGTGAATCTGTTTCTGGGATTTAATTTTATTCCATTTGCTTATATGCCTATTTTTATTCCATTATCATACCTTTTTGACTATTATCAACTTGTAATATAATTTGAAATGTGGAAGTTTGATACTACCAGTTCTCTTTTTTCATCAAAATTTCTTTGATTATTAAGGAGCTTTTGTGATCATATATAAATTTCAATATATGATGTTTCTTTGAAGAAGTCCATTGGAATTTTGATAAAGTTTGCATTGAATCTGTAAATTGCTTTGAGTAAAATACTCTGCTAACTCTTCCAATCCATGAGTGTGGAATATGTTTCCATTTCTGTGTGACTTATTTATTTTTTAAAAAGATTTATTTGGCCCTCCCTGGTGGCACAGCGGGTTAAAGCACAGCACTGAGAAGCTAAAGCCACTTCCGCATGAGTTCAATTCCTGCCTGCCCCGGAGGAGACCACACGGCTTGGCAGACCTCTCCTGACCTGCCCGCTGCTCCCCTGATCTGTGTACTTCCTTCATCTGCCTGTTCTTCTCCACACTCTGTCTCTGGTGAAGCCTCTCACAGCCCCTGCACCTCTGGCCTGTACCCCAGTTCTGTATGCATAAATAAATAAATCTTTAAAAAAAAAGATTTATTTATTTATGTATACAGAACTGGAGTGCAGGCCAGAGGAGGAAGGGTTGTGAGAGGATTTACCAGAGACAGAGTGGGGAACAGAACTGGCAGATCGTCAAAGTACATTGCAGAGGGGAGCAGCATGTGGGTCAGAAGAGGTCTGCCTCGCCATGTGGATCACCTCCAGGGCTGGTAATGGAACTCACATTGAAGCGGCTGTGGCTCGGTTGCAGTGCTGTGCTTTAACCTGTTGTGCCACCAGGGAGGGTCCCCATGTGACTTTTATTTCTGTTAGCAATTGCCATTAGTTTTCAGTGAACTTATCCTTTACCTTCTTTAGTTTATTCCTTAATATTTAATACTTTTTGATGTTATTATACATGGACATTGTTTTTTTGAATTTTTTCCCGTCTAGTTCATAATTTGTGTACAGAGAATCAATAACATTTTTTATGTTGACTTTTTTAGCTCGCCACTTTATTGTGTTGTTCTGTAGTTCATATGTAATATGTAATATATATTTATATAGAGTATATGTATAACATGAAATATATACATATAGTTTATTTATAGTACACAGTAATAATATGTTACCTATGTGTGTGTGTGTGTGTGTGTATACTCAAATATTTTCCTAAAATTACTATGTATTTCTATGTAATAGATATATAATATATGCTATATGAATATGTCATATGTTGGTAGTGACAGTTTTACCTCTTACAATATGGAATTATTTGTATCTTTCTTTTACAAACTTGCTCTAGGTAAAACCTCAAATACTATTCTGAACAGTAGTATTAAAGGTACATCCTTAAAGGTAATGTACTTTACCTTAGAGGAAAAGTTTCCATTTTTCAACATTGAGTATGCTGTCAGCTGTGTATTTATTGTATATGATCTTTATTATGTTGAGGCATGCTCCTTTTAACCCTATATTTAAAGTTTTTATTACAAATGGGTACTGAATCTTGTCACATGCCTGCTCTGCATCTATTGACATGATCATGTTTTTTCTTTTGTTAATATGGTGAATTAAATAGATTTATTTTTATATCTTAAACCATTTTTGCATCCCAGGAATAAATAAACTAGGTCATGATGTATGGTGCTTTTTAAGAGTTTATGAATTTTGCTTGCTAAGATTTTTATTTTTGCTTCCTCTAGAATATTGGTCTATAGCTTTCTTTCTCTTTGATGCCCTTGTATTTGTACTCTAATAGTTTTGGTATCGGAGTAGTGTTGGACTCGTAGAATGTGTTTGGAAACATTCCATCTTCCCCAAATTTTTGGAAGAGCTTGAGAAAAACAAATATTAATTTCTCTTTGAAGGTTTGGTAGAACTTAATAGTGAAAACATATGGTCCTGGGTTTTTGCTTTTTAGGAGACTTAATTAACATTCTATTCACTTGCTTGCAATTGATATGCTCAGATTTTCTTTTTCTTTCTGATTTAGTCTTATAAGTTTGTATGCATCCAAGAACATATCCAGTTATTCCACGTTTTCCAACTTATTGGAAG